TCTGAGAAGTGAACATATTTTAAATCTCCGCAAAGTTTGCGCTTCATGTAATTCACCCGGCATATCTTATCGATAAAGAAGGCATGAATTTAGAGCAAAAAATTGACGCGTGTAATGTAAGACTTTAAAATTGAAATATCTACTTGTCTGATTAAATATTTTGCAAAGACGTATTTTGCGATATTTTTCTTCCATTCCAAAGATAGGTTTTCTTAAGCGCCATCTTGATAAATTATTGACAAATACATCAATGGTTCGTTTGCACCTATGCTGTTTAATTTAAATCTACATCACTGACTTAAGTTTTGCTTTCATGTCACACCGAGCTCATAAGTGTTCATTGGTATAAAAGCAATTTTTTTTTCTAACTAAAACTGGTGTTGTGAAGCCTTGTACGAAGCCATCACTTCGAGTTTTATCTGCGTAGTTTGATATTCATGCAGAGTATGAGGCCGGCTATCGTGATTTTCACGGTATACCCTTGACAAACCTGCATGTAAAAAAAGAGGTTTTATCTTGCAATTAAACCTCACTTGTTAACTTTATTCATGTTTTATATACACTGATCAGATTGAGAAAGCCAAGGGATTATGTTTCGGGGTTTTACGTATCATTACTCATGATCCTCTTAACGGCGTGTAAGCTTGAGATCTAGCCCGGCTTCCTGAACGAGACACCTCGTCAGCACAAAGCACGATTTTCACTCCGACTTCTCGAACGCCTTCCTCTTCCAGAACATTTCTTTCTTTCTTATGGCAAACACCGATGCGTTGATTCGCTGTTTGACCGTCGAAGAGTGCTTAACTGCATAAGTCGGTTTTGTATACTTCAAGACACACATTCCTAGATCCTGCCCCCTTTTGATTGGAATCTACTTTGCACTTTAAAATCGCAAGTACGAGACACTATGTCGATCTTAAAGTACTCAAGCAGGATATCAGAGACTTTAATCCACTTTCTTTGAAATTGAAAAATGGTATTTGGAAACTGTGAATAATTTTTTTAACGCTATCAGGTTCTCTCGCGGCTTGAGTCAGATGAAACTTTTGTCTTTAACTTTGCTTTGTCGTATATTCGGAGATATTTACCGTACATATCGAACAGTCTCAAGATATGAGCCTTGTTATTTCCTTCGACATTTGAGATATGTATTTTTTTTTTTTTAACTTTCACATTTATTCGCAAGAAAAATACAGTATAAACGAGGATATCGTCAGAAGCGCGTTTAAATACCAGATCTGGACTTTGGAGAGGAATAATTCTTGAATTTAAAGCCATTACAACGCCTCCGAATGATTGCAAAACAAAACAAGACCCAAATGCGATTCACGGCCCATTCGATAACTTAATGAAAATATCTTTATATCTCCATTAGGTGACACTATTTTTAAAAGGGTAAACTATCGAACAGTACCTTCGATAGAAAGTAAGATTGCTGTGGCAAAAAAGTACAGCAAGAGTAAAATAAGAGAGGCAAGTGAGTGGATGAAATCCTACAATGCGAATTTTTTTGGCTGGCAACATTCACGTCCAAAATGATTTCCAACCTAGAAGGGCGTCAATGTTTTAGTCAACAAAGGTCGTGCACATGTTGGGTTTTAAGGTTTAATCCCGTGAAATCTGACACTAAATGCAGTTAAGCAAAGCCTACAAAAACACTTGTCGTCACGAACACGCAATTATTTTTTCTGACACGCAAACCTGTGATCGAACTCATGTGGAGAGCGCGAGATCTTTTAATAAACTTGTACAAAAACCGCTTTGCGCCGTATGAAAACTGAGTTCCCCAAATGCCTTGAAAGGTCTTTTAATTCGCTATTTCTAGAGAGCAATGACGCCGTTTTATTTCTTTATATAAAGGAAATAGAAAACGACTTTGATCTTTTCAAACTCGAGTGACCGATGCAACACATCTGCCGCCTCGGAGGCTGGTCACGTGGGTGGATTGCTCGCGCCACTTAACGTCCGCGCGAGATTGGTCGAGCGTCCATGCATAGTAAAACAGTCCCATTACATTATGTGGTTAATATGTTTTATAAATATACGCCGAATGTTTCAATTTCCTCCAGTTAATCGAATCTCTGCTGGTTTAAAACTGCGCCATTGAGATCGAAATATCACAAAAGAAAAATACGAAGTTTCGACTTGATGCTGTATAGCCACAAATTTATTGACGCAAACTTGAATACGGTAAGTTCTGTTATATTTTTTTGTCTTTTATTTCCCTCGTGCTACTTAGCATTTTACATAGCGTTTTCTTTGCCAAGACAAGTAGTGCAAGAAGTCCTTGTTTATGGGATCAGTTTTGCTTTCAAGTGACCTTTCGGGTCTTTTTCCGCAAATCAAAATTTTATTTTTGACACCTCTCACCTTATTAAACTCGTAAATGCAAACACTTGAATTTTGTATACCTTTGAAGCCAGAGCCTTCACATCAAAGATAACCAAATCATTCACGAAAGCTTCTAATCTTTCCTGAGGTGAGATTCTAGATTTCTGTTATGAAACTTAAGCTTAAATATCTACCTTGAAAATCTAAGATAAACCTAAAGGCACTCTTTAAGATCTTGCATGTTGTTTTAGTGTAATGACACCAGATTGAGGAGTTTTTTGCCGCTCGTTCAACTGAAACAGTTTCGTTCGACAGTAGGAGGAAACGAGTATATAAGTTGACGTTTTAGGAAGGCGTAGAGCAGAAAAAGGAAATGCGTCTTCAAGAGTTCCCCTCCTTCAATCTCTCGCTGACGTTTCAGTTAAAACTGTAGCAAATTAATAAGGAACATTGTTCAACAGCAATTGACAGAGGTAGTTTAATACAGAACGTTTAGCTACACGAAGGAAGCTAGTAAGGTAAAGCATTCAATCAAAGATAACCTTAACAGATTTCTAAATTTAATAATTTATGAAAGCTAAGAGTTATCGTCGAATGGACGATCATGCCGAGTCGTTTTAGAATTTGAAATGCATACTGTCGAATGACCGTTTGCGTGTATTTTATACTGGCCAAACCAAAGCGAGATATTGAGATGACTGTGCTTGCTTACTCTGTTCTATACTCAGCGCAAAATGTGGGCGAAAGTGGCTCGCAATCCTTCTGTTTGCGCACAAGAAGAAAGAAATTCGTCCTTCAAAGCATGCGGTTTTGCATTGATGATGTGCAAAGATCAATGTAATCAGTTACAAATGATGAAATCACTGTTAATAGAATTGAGGAAATTTCCTTTTAAAGAATCTTAAATGAACGCACGCGCGGAATATGAATGGATTATTTGGCGCGGTAAAATGCCAATTGCCTCCGTTTTTTCCGCTTGAATAAAACCGATTGAGACGTGTTCTCGGCCCCAGAGGAGGACAGCAATCAGAACTTTCTAGTTTACAATGAAACCCCGCCTTCGAGGATGGCAAAATACAAATTCACTAAATAACCCATTGGCGTCAGAAGTCTTGGTGGACAAGGCAGAAATTCAAACAATTTCTAATATACAACATATCAATGTCAAAATTGAGGGATCCCGTTACAAGCGCAGCTTTTGTTGAAAACGAAGAACGCCGGCAGCGAAATTGAAGTACAAACGCGAAGATTTGTTCGGTTGTACGGCCATGCAGATGTTTGAGGCATGGCCGCGTTAGTTTTTTGTGCCAAAATACGATGTTTACAAACTCAGCACAGACTCATTAATTTGTTATTATCCAGTCTTTTATTGAGGGATTTTTTTAGATTTAGCTGCCATAGGTGGGCGAATTTGTATACGGAAACAGGATTTGTGGCTCCAAAGTGGCCAGATGGATGCAAGAATTTGCTCAAAAACTGACAATGTCTTTCTAATTAGTCATGCCATCAGTTCGTCTTCGCCAGAAAAACGTCACTTGGATCGACCTTCAAATTTGCGTTTCTTTGGTTTTTGAGGTCTTACAGAAAACCTGACGAAATAAATCACAACCTGTCTCGAGGAATTATCGAGTTGACAAACTCTCTTGTCTTTCCATCCATCTTCGACTCCGCGTGTTAAAATTGTCTTGTTTGCGGCTTTATATCCCGATTATTACAGAAAACAGGGTTCTTGTGTTTCGTAATTAAATTTCAACAGCGCTTTTCAATCAAAATTTTCACCGCATCGAGGATATTTCGGCATAGAGATGATTTTATGATGGGTTTTTTTTCCGTTCTCGAGTAACGCGCGAGAGAATCTCGAGCATGCCTAAGTGACAAAGGAAAGATCGATTTAAAAAGAAATATAACAAGATCACGCGTGATTTGCACCGGATCAATATCCACAGAACCTGCAGTCTGTCAACTCCTCCTGAACCAAAAATTAATAGGCATTCGTTTTTTGGTTATTTGACGCTAAATTTTTGGTTTCCTCCTTCTTGCGTGCTCACTTACCCACCCTCGAGTAATGTCAGCGTGAACAATTTTGATTTCCGCTGGTGGAACATGTAACGCTTTCGTAAAGATACAAGTGTGAAATTTAGCGCTTTTTTTGGTTGTGGATTTTGTTCCGTTCCTTCTGCGAGAAGTTAGCTAAATATGGTTACATTGCGCTCGCAAATACTTGGCTTGCCTTGCCTAACGAATGGATTCAATCAACCAGCGCGTATCCAACTCTCAATACGCGAATTCGGCGCCAATGGTTCGCACGGATGTGACTCGCTAAATCCGTCACAGTTGAGTGACCGTCCATCGTCTTGTGAGGTATTCGCTCTAATTCACACCATTTTGCTCGGTCGATCTGGAGGCATTGCAGGAAATAAATCGGTGGATTTCGCAGAAATCTCAGCTACATCTTGCGTGCTTAGAAGTCGGCACAGTAAAGCATGTGCACGTTAGACAAAGCAGTGAATTAGACCGGTACGCTAGGCGCCGAATTGGCGCCCAAGCGCTCAAGTCGTATAAATAGCATGTAACACTAGCCCGTGCTTTCAAAGTGTACTTTCTGTAGCAGAAAAAAAGTCAGCGATCGCTGGAGCTCGTTGAACAAATAAATCGCCAACGAGGTGAGTAGATTTTGTTTTACTTGAGGAAAGCTAATCGGATTACCTTGTACCTCGGCGGTTTGTGGCGAAAGTTTTTTTGCGAGTTCACCTCAATACGGAGTTCTTTAGTGCGAAGGAACCAAGGTCCTTGGCTTTCCAGTGAACCGCAGCAGTAGTAACAACTTCCAGCCAGTTTTCTGTATACACTAATTTGAAAGAACAAGCTCCCTGTAGTGCTGAAAGATAGATTTTGACTCCGTTTAATCGTACTGATCAATGAAATTGCTGTATCTGTACTATCGCACCAGGAGGTTGATGGGTTTATCTCGATAAGGCTGCAGCTTCGCGCAAGGAATAACAAACTGATTTCTGTAAATACCTACACATCACTTGCAGTGAATATTAATAAAAACCACCCGCCTTATCGTTAAGTGCTGTCGATAATCCAATATCTTAGTTCCGTTCCTCGAATTGGTCGACTTTACAAATTCAAAATCGAACAGCAAAGTTTATGTAGTTTGTAAGACACTGCGAGCGTATTTCGAATGTCATGACACAGCGGTTACGCGTTCTATGTTCGCATTAGCTCCTTGCTAAATTATCAGTCAGTGAAGAAATTATTATCTACGAGCACTATGGCTTTCGAGGGCCAAGAACAGCTGCCTCAATACAAAATTCGCCAAAAGCCTATTATCAGACCATTAGAAATGTGTGAGAGCTTGATGGCTTGGTCATCAGTTATGCATACATTATCACGCACTGCACAAAAGCTGTGCCATTATGAAATTACGTCCATTTTTATACAGACAGCTTTTTTGCCCTCACTTATTCCCGCAGATGCTCCAGGTAAATATTGGAAAAACCACGGACCCCTAATTACAAGACACTTACACGGTTCGATCGAGTGATTGAGCGCGAGGTTTCGCGTTGGCCTATATTGGACCGCCTGTGCTAAACATAGGCGCAAAACTGTTTCGGTTTTCGATTGAGCAATTATCTGTTACCCGTTTGCTACAAGTTACTTAGGTCGCTGTTATTAGCTGCATTATCTTTTGCCATTGATAGGCGGATAACTTGTGTCGCAAAGCCATTATACAAGTACACACAACAAGAATTTGACCAAACGCGAGCGGGTATAGGACAGCAACTCATTCGTCTTACTAGAAATCGTAAAATGCGTTTACGAGAATTCAATTAGTAGCGAAATGAGGCTGGATAGCCGAAGTGATAAAAAATTAATGGCTCAACAAAATTCTTGAATGAGAACCATAATAGTTCACAGCCTATCAAAGGCGCTACTGAAGAAGTTTTGCTTTCGTAACTTTTGCCCATAAAGGGGGTGGGAAATGTTCTCACTTCTGACAATCATATCAGCTTTGGTTTGCGCAAATATCGAGAAATATTTATCCAAGGCTCCCTTTGAATAAACAATTATTACCATCAAATCACCGAGTTATTGAGTTTTACGCCAAAAGGGTGGGAAATCAGAACAGACGACACAAAATGAATTATTTAGTGCACTTATTTGGCAATAAATTCTAGGCTGCAAACCAGAACATTTTCCACCATGTGGTCGGCTTAAAAGGTGAGAAACGATTCGTGGACGAAGAAAGCACCGAAAAAAAATATTGTGGACGAGATCCGCAGGGCTTATTTCGAGCCGGTTTCCTTCCAAGGCCGTGAGAATTGTTTCAACATTGGTAGGTAAAAATTCATATCGTTCAGTATCAAGCGTAGATCCAAAATGTGATAATTATGCAATTATCAATTTTAGATAGAGTGATTGATAAGTTGGAGCAAGCCTCCCTGTCATGAGCTTCAACAGAGGTAGGTATTAAGAGGGAGCGTGGCTCGCTATATCGAGAGGTGAATGGCATTTCCGGCTGCAAACCACGAGCGCATTTATCTAGTTCCCGCGAGAATTTACACTTTCCGCTACGTTTGCAGCAAAGTCGGAGAGAAGTTGTTTCGAGGAGCACTGTGCTAAGTAAATAAACGTCTGGGACAGGAACTGAGAAACGCTCCGAACACAAACTTGATTGTTAAGGGGCTATCACAGTTGAGAAATCAAAGACACCGACAACCGACTCACTGTCGCCACTATGACCCTCAAAGAATTTTCCCATTAGGCCAAAAATGCTATTTCACACGGTTACTTCTGCAAGAACAACGGCAATGAACAGCCCAGCTTCCAAAGGCTTTCCCTGAGGGCTCGCGCCCGTCTAAAACTCTTCCGCTCAAAGACGTTTCGCGCTTTCTTCATCGAGGCTTCATACTACGCCCAGAAACCATACGTGCCCACGTTTGTCAAATAAGCACAGTTGTAGTCGAAGAACAATGCCAATGAGTGTTCCGGGTCACTCGCCCCTAAAATTTAAGCAAATTGAGAAGATAAAAGAGTCACTGAGTTTTAGAAACTTGTATTCTTCTTGATGGGCAGTAGCACGCGTCTGTCTTTGTTTCTAGCCGGGTTGTCGCGACTTGCTTGAGGGGAACGTTCGTCAACCGAGAAACCCTCTTTGATTAAACTTTGTTTCGTATCTGTTTCTTACTGTGATCTCTTGGTCGGCTACCAAGTTTCCTGATTGCGTTCCTAGGAAAGCGATAAGGAAATAGGCAAACTTCTCTTAAATTTTATCAAATTATACACAATAGTCTTTTTATTTTTTAACACCATTTGCAAACAAACAGCTCACGCAATGAAGTGAATCTTTTCAAGCGGAACACTTATGAGCGAGTTCTGTACGTCTTGGGTATTAACATCTCTCGTCTGTAACCATAACATATAATTGCTACTTCGTTTATCTGTTCTTACGTATTGTAATTTTAGTGAACTTATCCTCCTTAGATTGCGGCGGATTATTTGCTTTTACAAATGTTTAAAATCACAAAGGAACATGCTACAACAAATAGAAACGAGATATGTTTTTCTCGTCTCACCATCGTTCTCATATGATAACGCGCTTTTCAAAGTTCAAGAGTATTTCGAGTTCCTTCAATAACTGCTCCGAATCCGCTTATAAAAGCTTCGCAGTTAAGACATTTAACCCGAAATTGGCTTGCCGTACAAGTCTTGTCTAAAGTAATCCTTCTTGGAGAGCCGTTTAGGGACGCCAAGTGGATCAAATACATTTGTCAATCACGAAAACTCTTTAGGACACAGACTCGCGTGCTCCAGTGACCACCGCAAGTCGTTTCGCTTTGTAATTTTCAACCCCTCCGCAGCGAAATGATGAATTTTAAGGACTAGTAAATTGCTTATTACTGATAAGACATTTTTCGTGCCCACAATGAGCTTACAAGCAGAAAATTTGCATGCAGAGGCTAGCAATTCGGGCGTTTACCGACTCGTGCCATACCGATAGGGCTTAGGGAAGGTCCAGCGCGAAATTATTTCCAAACTATCTTCTTTCACATTTCGAGGATTTAGAGTTTCTTGGTTAATTTCTTTGTAAAGTATATCCGGACCAATATCTCCTCAGTTTAAACTCCCTCCCGATTTTACAAGTTGCTTAGTTAGCTCATTGTTATGTAAATTCTGCGTGTGTCAAATGTGAGACATAGATTTATCGTTTTTTGTTCGTGAGTTTTTGTTGGGTTAACCTTTTGTTGGTTTTCCGTGCCAGATAACGATTCTGTTTATGTGAGCGAGATTTGTTAGTTTAGTTAAGAGTTGTGCTGGCCATTATTAATACTGAACAGTAGAAGAATATGACTACAGTAGTTTCCTTTTTTATGCCAAAAAAAAAAAATCGAATTATTGCTCGGGGTCACCGAGTAAACGAGGCAAGATTTTGCGCGTAAATCTATTTTTAAACTCTCGATATATCTATTCGGAAGCACTATCGCAGATATAGATGTACCTTGTGTTAACAGCATAAAACGTATAGCTTAAAAGTCATTGCAATTGATTGTTTCTTCGATACTGGACCGAGCTAAAGATAGAAATAGTAAGAGTGATCTCGTATGTAGCCAAGTACAAGCGAAGACTGATTTCCTGTTTGTCAACTGCTTATGGCAATCCTATTTGAGGTATTAAAAGCTAAGCTTAACTTAGATAAAGGGACTAGGAAAAACGCAAGTAGCTTTGTAGATCCTGAGCGGGATTTCAACAGTTTCAAGTGAAATTAACCATGTCTCACTTGTGTGGTACGAAACGGATCTGATTCAGGCGATACTGGTTCATGTCTGTTCACAACGGCCGTTGCGATTGTCGACTCGACAACAAAACGATGTCTGTAACAGTTACCTATTTTCCCCCACAAGCGGAAAAAAACCCATCAACCGCTCGTCTGTTTTAAACTTTTTAATCATCGACTTAATATTTTGTCCACAACTACGGATACGCTGCTATTTAAGTACAATGACACCCCAACTGATTGTTTCTAAATGCGTTTTGAAGCCGTTTTAGCCACAATTTTTGCCTCTTTGTACAGATTCCTGCGGTCGAACAACACGCTCTTTCATACTGTCAGCATTATTCTCATTTCCTTCGACAGCGTTTCCTGTGTAGAATTGAACACCTTTTCATTTTGAATAAAAAACAGCTTCTAGCCCTCCAACGTTGAAACAGTTAGTAACTAAAATCAAAGTTACCTACCGCCGATCAATGGTTCTCACAGATGGTTTTATCCATAAAAATTCCTGCATGCACGGCGACTCCACAAAGCCTGTAGCTTTCGATATTCATCTGATGTACAACCGATATATCTCGCAGCTTTAAATTGTCTTGGCGCTATGAAAATATATCACTTTACGATCTTTGTTTTGGTGCATCGAAAGATCTGTTTTCCCTTGTTTTTATGCAACACGTTGCATGTTGTGTGAGAACAACTTCACACGTCAACCAGGACGCGAGCCCAAATTCTCTGTATTGCCGACAGTTCTCTATGCCTGCAAGTTTAGCTAGCGTTTATGGTTTTAATCCGTTTTTATCACGATTCAATGCTTTATCAGTTTGCCCAGTCGAGAGCGCTTTAAAGCCCTACAGTTCGGTTTCCAGATATAAAATCGATCGCGGACATTAAACTTGTTTTAGCGATTAACTGATACAGTGTACCAAACCTGCACAGTATGCAAGCAAGATACGACACCCCCTACATCAGATAAAGCTAAACGGAGTTTCCTGTTTGGGAAAGTTTTCAAATTATCACCCTTCTTTCACGGGCCTCAAAGTCTACTCTACCCACGAACCATCGACGGCTATATCGAGCTGTATCTTGGTCTGTTGTGGTGGGCGGTGGCTTTGAGAGCTCACGGATTTCCAAAGATTAATTTTTCAAAACAGGACGAGAATGCGTAATAAACAGTTGTGTGTTTTCAGAAATCAGAAATGCAATCATGCATGCTGGCGATTATACAAAAGATTTCATCGCCACCGTACACAAAGGAAAATGGGAACATTTCACTGATAACCTCTTTCCTCTTTTGACTTATCTCTCCAGCAAAGCAATGCTTGTGTGTTTTACGGATTTAGTCTAGCGCAATGTGTAAAGATAGATATATCTAGTTAGCTACCGTGTGAGTCGCACAGTGTTTGTCGGCGCCGGCTCCTCGCAGCTCCGTACAGTCTCGGCGCGTAGCAACTGTTAAAAAGTCTCAAAGTAGCCGGGAACTTCAGCATGTCTTTGGAGAACGTTAACCGGGAGACCTGCATCTTGGGGAGTCTCTGTCCTCTCGTGTTCGGAAGAGCTGTGCCCGAGGGCTTTCGAACTCCTCTTCCTGGTAAATTTTTCATGTTCTTAATTTAGATAGGTATCCTTACTGTACAACGGACCCAGGCAGTTAAGACCAACCGGCGCAGCCACCCAAATAAATCCATCAAACAGAGACATACTTCAGTGAAGTAGACATTTTAATCCCTGGCATTGTATAGAGACAACAAACATTTTTCCTCCTTCAAAGTGAAAGGCTGATGATTTTTTTTTTCTCTTGAAAGTTGCGTTTAATTGAACAAACCGCACACGCAATGGCACTTGTGGGAAATCGCCGAATATAAATCATTTATGAAAAAGTTATTTCTTTCTGCACAGCTAAGTAATTCAATTTCTCGATCTTAATTGCGATAAAATAGGTTTACTCAATTCTGAACACCTAGCGCTCTTAAAAACTCATAATTGCGTTATATTTTAATAGAGGGCTTAGAAACCTTTAAGTTTTTCAAGCGCTTACTATTTCGTGCCCTTGACTAAAAGTGTTTTCTCATGGGCAACGCATTTCATTTGTTGAATTAAATACACTAATTTTTTTCGAAAACTATTATTCTTTTTCATAAAAGGGTTATCTTTATTTCTTGTTGTCCTAAAGAGTTTTGGCTTTAAACATTTATGACTTATAATGGAAAATAATTGAAATGTTGATACCGCCACAACGGAGAGGAAATATTAAGAAACTATTTTGAGCGGTTCAAGGGCATCACGTAAAGAGAAATTTCTCACATTTATTGAAGCGGAGCGGAAAGGGGTCGATTTCATGTTCGTTTCGTTTGGCACGTGGGCATGTGGCCCTTAACCGCACCAAGTAAACAGCCTGTCTTCGGTTTGATTGTATTTCTTTCCTGTGCCCGCAGGTGGGACTAAGAAATTTTAATGATTCAGCATTTATGAAAGAGGGAAAAATTATTTTCGCTGCAAGCACCAGTTGTCCGTTAATATTAGTAGCTATGGATTTCAATATCATTTCACGAGTGTGATTCTTGTGGTAAACATTGAACATTTGGATCGCTCTCACTGCAGAGTGTAAATTGCATGATCGATTCGGTCTTATCACACATTTCAAACTCTGCACTGTCTTGGTAATCGTCGTGATTATAGCGATTATGTTTATTGCTTGTTTACGAATTTCTGCTGCTTCGTGATTAGAAAAGTATAAATATTATCATTATTCTAGACACAAACTCTGCTGGAATTCGATCAACGATTAAAGAAGCGATTTACAAATCAGGAGCTCTTTCTCCTTGGCGCACCACGCATCAAACACCCATATCTCCTCCGGAGGTCGGGAAGCACTTCGTGATCCTCATCTCGAGTTGTCGAGATCTCGTTTTAACAGGCTGCAAACTAGCGTCTTGCTGTCTGCAAACCCTAACGCCATGCACGCAAATCATCAACATTGTTGAACATTTGAAACTCTGATAACACCAGCCAATTACATTGTCATTCTATTCATACTTCGCGCGAAAGGTCACCCTCGATGAATAATAGCATGTTAGTGCGACTAGAAACCGAATTCAGTAGCGTTTGTGGCGAAGCGTTTTACGACAGTTCGGAGCCACCGAGTGCAATAAGGCCTTAATTTATTTCCCATCATCCCTAAAGAGGTTTTCGTTTGCAAACATTTACACTGATAACAAGCCCTGAAATACGCAATAAAATCTTTGCGGAGCTTATCTTTTGTTATCGGCTCTATCTTGCGGTCACGTTCCACCTGTCGTAACAATGAACTTAACCCGGGAGCCAATCAGTGCTCGGCATTAGATAATTAGTTGTACAGCGAAGCACCCATGTTGTTTTTCTTTGCTCTGTGATGGCGGATGCGCCCATCAAGACGAGCACCGCTTGATCAAATAGTCTTCAGCAAACATTCACAACGGGATGTTTTCTCGGGACGTCATGGAAAATCACTCGGGCATCACTAATGCGGATCACAAAGCCGTTAATTTTTGCTCGTCAAATAGGATATTATTTATCGCTTGTAAGAAAAGTATATAATGATAACAAATGCAGTCAAAGAGGTTGATTTTACAGAGATAAGTGAGAAATCCCTTGCCCCGGATCTAAATTCAAATCTGACTTTGAAGAGTTACGTATTTCAACTACGCAGGCACGAAACCAAAATGTGTTAGGAGATCAAACCGGGCGTCCTTCTGCTTTTTACGCGCGTCCGTCACGTGTTTTCGATGCTAAACAGAGCTCACGTGAAATACTATTGCCGCTAATTTACTGTTTGAAAACTTTACATGGCACCCAGCCGCGTGATTGACAGTTCACTTTAGCCGAAGAATTGATTGTTTGATTTGTGTACCAATGAAGTTTTGAATGGAAGAGAGAATCTAACAAAATGTCAACCAGCGCGCCAGGCGATTGGCTGAGCGGCTGACCTGTCACTCCTAATGTGTATACAAGCAGGTTTGTTGGCGCCAACCAAGCGGGAGTGAACTTCAGCCTGGTTTGCTTACAAAACCTTTCAAATATTGTTTGAATATAACCAGACACCACATCTCAGCTTGTGCATTGCGGGGTTTATCCTATAAGACTCAACACTGTGGCTATTTACAAAACACGTTAAGGTTCTTCAACGACCCACTACGCGCGAAGTACTGGATTTTCACGAGGTGCGCACAACGGATCAAAGTCTCAGGACATTTTTTTTTTTTCTCGCTCTCTCTCACTCTTCTGCCCGGCGTCACGTACAAACGAAGTTCCGCGATGCCTAACAAAGCTAATGTCTCGCACTTAATTTTAGCGCCTTATCTACCCAATCATCATTCCCTACAGCTTCGGAGATCTCCCTTTGTGTGTTAGGAGCCCTGGAGAAATTCCATATCTATTTGAATAGCTTCTAAAGATTTCTAGAGTGTATTCATCAGATAAGTCGTGCTAGCTTCATTTTACTTGTAAAACTGTGAATAGAGACTTCCGTTTGATGATGCACGTTAGTTTTTGACGTCTTGCACCGTTCGCCGAATTTCCCATTGAATATAATGCCAGGACAATGAAATTCCTCTTGCCTATTATTTCCTGAAGTTATTGTTATGGGACTTATTAAACCATTTAAATATATGCCACTCTGTCAGTTTTGTGTTCTATTTGCGTTGAGCAACACCTCTGTTCTCTTGAAGGTTTCTCGCGACTTGGCATTCTGAAGATGGAAGCGGTCAACCCTGAACACAGATGGATTCACCCAGCCGTTAGCCAACAACACGAAGGCGCTCATGGCAGCGACAGAATGCAGCCTTCTGTCTCGAACTGCGCAGCAAACAACATGAATTTGGTTGAAACGAACCAACTTCTTCCTCCAGACGAAGTGGACGTTTTCTTTCACCACCTAGACAGCTCGGGAAACGCACCAAATTGGTCGTACACTCCCGGCGGTCGGGCCTACCGCCCGTCAATGTGCCAAATGGCCGCGCACGGTGCTACAGCTTTTCAAGATCCTCAAAGCCAATCTGGACAAGGAAGCTGTAGCCGGGTGTTCTTGCCAACCGCTCGCGTTCCACCAGGTCAGGTTTGTCGTCCTCATTTCCACACTCCGATCCAGTGGATTGAAAGCAAGCCAGCGCCGGGACTCATGTCGCACGGTTGTTCCACCGCTACTCCACCGTCGGTTTGGTGTCCTTCGTTCCAGCAGGGCCATCGTCCAAGTCCCGTGCCTGTTTCCATGCCTCCTTCGGCAGTTTCGGGCTCCATGTCATTGTCTCACAGCTCGGCGCATTTATTCCCCTTCCCGCCAACACCGCCAAAGGATATAAACTCTGGCGAGAGCGGAGTAATGGGCAGCGATATTTTCAGCTACGGTAGTGAAGAGAAGGCACGTTTGAAAGCCGGAATGCCGCTTGTTTCCCCGAGACCCGACACGGCTCCTTTCACGGGCGCTCTCCCACATTACGTTGGTTCAGAGCTTAATATGTCCTCTTTCGGACCACTGCCTGGTTTGCCCGGGCTAATGGCGAATAGAAACTTTCCTAGAACCAGAACCAAGAGCCGATCGAACTCAGGTTAGTACGGATTTACAGTCGAGCAAACAAAAACTAATCGCCAAATCGAATTATCTCCAAAATGCCACTTTCCTGGTGAGATTAGCGTTCTTTCCTTCCACAAAAGCTGCGGGAGTTGAAGTTTTTCTCTCCGCAAAATTTCTTTTATGCCCGTTCTAATTTGGAGGCACTAATTATGCCCCTAAATAAACCTAATTACTGTGCGGTAATGTTCACCGTTGAAACGTCCTGTACTTGCGGCATTCCTGCTTTCAGAGACTCCTTAAATATATATGTGTGTGTTTTTCTTATCTTTCCTTTTTAGTTTTATATGTTTTAGTTTAGATTTAGAACGGTAACCACTGCGCAAAGATGTGTTCGACACAGTCCCTGTTAGAACGTCATGTTATAACGTTTTGCTCTCGCGAAGTGAAGAGAGTTGTATTACAGAATTGCCATAAGAAAGTCATAAAATCTGGCAAAGGAGGATAGACTTATCTCAATGTAAGACGCGTATGTTGTCGTAAAGAATGACCTTTTAGGAAAAGTGTTTACCAGAAGGAACTCGACTCCATCTTCTAAGGCTAAACACATGCACACTACATGTAAAAGCCGGGCACACATTTGTTTTTATTTTGATGATTTTATTCCGAATTTCTCGCGAGTGGTTACCATAGAGGAAAGTAGAAAATCCTCGAAACGCGGATACAAGCTGATCTTGGCTTCTTCGTCTTTTCAACCAGCGGATGGGCGCGAATGTGTGAATTGTGGCGCTACTTCAACCCCGCTTTGGCGGAGAGATGGTGGAGGACATTACCTCTGCAACGCCTGTGGATTGTACCACAAGATGAATGGAGCCAGCCGTCCTCTCATAAAACCTAAACGAAGATTGGTGAGTCGACTGGTATGAGGCCTTTGAATCACACGTAACTCTAGCTAGAAGGCTCTTTTAATTTCAGTTCTTTTTCAGTTACATACATTGCAATTGGAATCTTTCTACGTTAGTCGTGGTATTAAGCTAATTTTCAAGTTGTCGCTAAAGGTTTTGACGGTCGACATTTGATGCGTTCACAATCGTTGACAGCAAAGAGTGTGAAAATTTTCAAAGCCCTTTCAATATTAATTGCTAACTAAAAGACTCGATGAGATGAATGTAGCGGACAGATAGCCCGAGTAGAATTTTTCAGAGGCGCAGGAATTTTTAATTTTATTTATCTTAATGGTCTTCCATATGGGGAATTTGATTAAAATTTTAAGCGTGATGCATAATTTGCCAATTAGAGCTTTCGTGTTTCTTTTTGCGTAAAATCGGGCTATTTTGCAGACAGACGTTGTATAAATTACGCCTAACACGTAACTGCGACTTGTCAACGCCTCTAATGAAACTCTAAATGCTTTTGATGGCGCAAGAAATCCCCTGCGAGGAACTTCGCATTCAGAGTTTATTTGCGATCACTGTTGAGGGACTTCCAAAGCGCTTTTCTCTTTTCGGGAACCGTGAGGTTTTCTTTCTTAGTTCTAATTTGCTTTTCTCTTTTTTTGTTTCAAACAGTCGGCAGCCCGCAGAGCTGGGACATCTTGTGCTAATTGTCATACCACACAGACTACACTCTGGCGACGCAACCAAAACGGAGACCCAGTTTGCAACGCGTGTGGACTGTACTGGAAACTCCACGCGGTAAGTGGAACGTGCGTGGCCGCGCGCGCGTGCTTAAAAAACACTTTACTTCGTGTTCTGTTTGAGAGGACAGGATTTCTTGTGGAAAAGAAAAGCGTCGAATCGAATGTAATAAGCGTAAAAGATAAGATATTCGTTGATAACTGGCGGGTTGCTTGATTTATTTATCACACTATCAGAAATTCGTTTATCCTTAATGACTTAGAAACGATAAACAAACAGAGTTTTAAGACGTTCAGAGAAGCGAATTTCCTTCGTTTTAGATAAGAAATTTCCGAATGCAATCGCTCTTCTGTTCGTGTACAATTTCTTTTATTTTCTCCTCAGCCGTTTGCCATCGAGGAAATAAAATTCAAATCAAGAAAGCAAATGAACTGGTCGTTTTATGTATTGAATAAAATGTGAATCGCTCTTTTGACGAACAATCTCTTGGTGCGTTCGCTGAGATCTTCCCCAGCTGTTGCCAAAGCCGTTATGTGTGATGATTATATTTTATTACAAAGCTCATCAATTAGTCTTTAGCAAAGTTGGGGTAATTTCATCTCAATTTCCGGTTGAGTTATTTTGAGTAAAAGCTTAATGTGCTGTGCTTTTGGGTTTCCGATTTTTTTTTTGCGAGGCTTGTAAATATTTTTACATGTTCAATGACTTTTGTTTGGCTTTGCGTGGCAGAAGTATTTCACATGGCGCGCGGGCTGCGAGCAAATAGTGGAGTTTTTGTTTTGCTTTGTGTACATTCGTAATTTCTTTTACACGATTCAAAAACATAGCTTCGACACCTTCTCAATGGAGAAAAGCTGCAGTTTCCATGCTAATTAATGTTAATGTATTAAACTTTAATGACTTGTGTGTCCGTTAAACACCGAAAAACTCACATTTCCTGCGGTAATTTAATTGTCAGCCTTCAAGCCTTCTGCTGGGGAAAGGGCCTTTGTGTTCTCGCTTGAATTTTAACTGAGCACATCAACTTGTCGGTTATATCGAGTTAATAGCTTCCTTTTATACCTTGGCGGGAATTGAATTTTCGGCTGTTTCCTGTGCATTACGAAGATAATGAGACTTTAATATTTGCTGTGTTATCGGGCTTTCAATAAGTCAAGAAACAAATGTCTTGAATTTTCAGCTTTCAAATAAACGCCAAGACCGTAATTGTGGTTAAAAAAATACTTTTGTCTGATTATGTATTAGGTAATCACACTGGCTTCCTTCAACTTTTTTGTGTAGTCGCGGGTCTTTTTATTTTTAGCGTTGTCTTAACATATAATGAGTTACAAGCATGAATTTTTAATTTCAAAACTTGAAATGTTTTTTATCAGCCTCCCGTGAATGGATTTTAAAGTATGGTGCACGCACACACACAGAACCCGTTCAATTTAAAAAGCACAATTAATTTAATGTTTAGAATAGTGATTTTGAATCTCGCTTTAAACACGGAAAGACATAAAATGGCTTTTCAATGGTCAAACAAGGATCTTTGGTATTTTAAACCCAGGACCACCTGCCTCTCTCTTTTGTATTTCTGTTAAAAGGCCGCGGTAAAATGTAGACTGAAAACGTATGGCTTTCCAAGACAAGAAAAGGGCTCCTTTGTTTCATAAAAACGCGGCTTGGCAGAAAAGAAAGAAATTCAACGAATAACAAGTGGTTGCCACGAAACCAGTTAAATTCGAGACGATTCCATTCGGGAAATTTTCTTCAAGACCGTTTTAGCAATTGTCATTATAGTTCTTTTTAATAAAATGCACATTCGCAAACAATGGAGAGAAAAGGAGGTTGTCGGCAAGCGGGAAATTGCCATTGATACTGCTGCGTGTTTAAACTGGCGATTTTTCGCCTGTTGAAGTGAATTGAGTTATTGGTTTAAAACGTCACAAGAACACAGCAGATTTTCTGCAGAGGCTTACACAATTAAGTTCGATGAAAATCGAGACTTTCGCCTTTCTATTTCACTTCATAGTCTAATCCAATTTCCGTTCGTAATGGTGGAAAATTGAGAGTGCACTTACTCGCTTTTACAAGTCACGAAATTATCGGATTTTGCGGTTGGAAGTTTTTTAAAAGTTTCCTTTTTGTCTTTAAGTTCGTTTCACACTTGGCTTAGCCAGCAGATATTCAAACATTTATCGGTTTTTGTTCAGTGATTTTTTTTTTCGACAGCTGAGAGCGCCGAGCACAGCGCGCTTTAGAAAGATTTGTTAAACTTCTGTAGATTAATTGAACATTTTCTCACTTCGAACCGAAGACAAATTTAGACTACTGGGTAGTTTACGCAAGGGATTAGTGGCTACACACTTCCCCTCGTCAATTGCTAGGGACTTCTCGACTAATTCTGGTTTTCTCTTTTCCTTTCAAAGGTGAACCGACCGCTCTCCATGAAGAAGGATGGCATCCAGACGCGAAACAGAAAAGTTTCTTCAAAGAACAAGAACAAGTCTAAGGGTGTAAAACAAGAACAGAAACATGGCAGCGAAGACAAACTCATGAGCAGCCGAGATTCCATGCCTAACATCAGTCAAGGCAGTTCAGTATCCAGTATGATCAGCCCAGTTATTAGTCCTACAATTCATACTCCGACCGCGTTTTCAAGGCCGTCCATGACCGGTTTACCCACGCTTCACCCGGGTCTATACGGGCCGCTTATTCCTGCTCCGACTTCGAATCCGTCAAGTTATTTACCTGCTCCTCCAGCTGTCTCGATAAACGCCTCTTAGGAAAAACTACGACAAGACTAGCTGCCGTGACGTCTTCAAGGAAAGAGAAAAACATTTAACTAGTGCGAGAAAAGCGTCTCTGCATGCTATGAAACGACAGGCAGTTCTTGCTGAACAAGTTCCGCCGAAGAAAACGTACTCGTCGCTCGCCCTCCCGCCCCTCCGTCCGTCCTTCGGAGCCAAGTTCTATTGTAATTACAAATTTTCCCGTGTATCTGTACATCAATTAGAACTTTCACCCGCAGAAAGGCCGGGAAAGAAAACATAAAAAGGAAAACGGACACAAGTTAAGTTGAATGTGGTGCGTACCTTAGTAAATGTTCCCGTCGTATTAAAGTTCTCGTCCGTTTCACGTGTGGAATAGCCATACGAGAATTAAATAAGACTCGCTGAGAAGAAAAGTTGGGTTGGAAAAACTAGCAAGAAGAGCGATTCGGTTGTGTACAAATTGAAGGTTTTGCGATGTTGTTCTTTTTCTGCAGTTTTGGACAGGTTAAATATTGTACAAGTTCGTGATAAGATTAGGTGTTGCGCTGTGGAAGTTAACTTTCTTTCAGATAAAGCCGCCCTGCTTGCGACATGATAAAAAGGTCCTCATATTTGATTTCATGATATTTGTGTGTAATTAAAAGATTTATCGTGCACTCGTATATCGCTTCTTGTCTCAAGGCTCAAAAATCCGTGAGATATGAGACCGTATCGCTCTGAAAGGAAAATATACGCTGTAAATATTAAACTTGGAAAATAACTGAATCTATTCATGCAGGTTATGTTATCAACACAGATTTCTTCTACTGTTCATTCTGGAAATCGTCAAAGAAAGATTATCTCTCTTGTTGTTCATGTAGTTATTTCTATCTTTTAGCGTTCGTTGAATTATAAATCATGTTTTCCATCTTCTCTCTTGTAAAACCTGTATGAAGGTCATTGCTTTGTCATTCGCTATGTTAGCGATCGAGAATAGTATAATTATAATTATTATATCTAAATATATGAACATTGAGACTCAAAAAACTTAACTAAATAAAGTGAAATCCACTGGAAAATTGTCTGGTATTTCTTCATTTATTGAATACGAGGAAGCCACGATTTTTACAGCTTCTTGTACGAAAAGTTACTAAAACTCTAACGCCCTTCTGGTATTGTGATTTCTGTATTTAATGTTGGAAAAGCAGCAATAGGAAATAATTCAGTTCAAAGCTTAAAATATTTTGAAACCTCAAACTATCTTTCGAGAGATTTTGCAAGAGGCAAACAAGTGAATCTTCTTCGATATTTGTAACTTCATTTCGCTGCTACGAGCAACGAAAACAAAGGCAAACTGAAGGTGTAAATTAGCCCTAATATTTTCAATTAGAGCAAAGAAATCCTGAGACATCAAATCACTCTTACAGAGGTCAATATTTTGTTGTTTTTGCAGAGTTTGAATGGTGGAAAAATCATAATGGCGAAACATGAGAGAAAAATGACATCACTCGCTCAATTTACAGCCTTTGCTCAGCTGAATTTGTTGCCATTTGCCTACAAAAGTTTCAATGATTAATAATTGGGCTATATGACGGTATAAACAGTGCTTCCTAATCGCCTTTCAACAGGAATTAAATTATAATTTAAATCGATGTGTGACACAAACATTAAGAAGCTGACTTTATGTTGTTTTGCAAACTACATTGAAAAGTCTTGATTTACGATTCGTCCACTGTTAGCCAACTTTTTGCTGATGAGTATAACTTAACATAGATGTTTGGCCCTCGCTCAATGGCATACAAAAACCAACCGTTTGATAATCGCAAGAATTCAATTTTTGAATCTCTCAAAGTCGGCTCTTTCGTTTGAATTTTGAGCCATGTTTCTGTCCAAATACAAAAACTGATTACATTCTGCTAACAAGTCATTAAAACCGAACCGAAACCTTACACTTTTTTATCAAAATCACTTTAAAACTGAACACACTTTAAAGTCTTCTTTCTATTTAACGAACAGGTTTCCAAACTAATTCAAATCCGCAAACAGATATAAACATAACTAAGATTTCGTGCAAAAACTACATACCGAAAACCTTCCCTGTTTAAAAGGGCAAGAGCCGAGGGCAAATCCTTAGACGAAAAGACGACATTTCCCAACCCACGCTAACCGCACCTTTGCCGGCTCGCAAAAGAATAGCTAAACCAAATCATCTGGTCCCTTTAGTGCTGTCGTTTGTCCAAGAAAGGGTGCGGGTCTTTTTGCGAAAGTTTTAGGTGCTCGAATAGAAATGACGATTAAAAAGACAAGTGATTTCATTCAAACAAACGGGTGAATTTTGTTTTTCTCAAGTCGTGCAACCGTCGAAGCTGGATAAATTATTCAGATAGACAAAATAACCTGTACTTTCTCTGCAAATGGATGATAAAAGAATTGACATATTGTATTTCTAGAATGAAGACCTTTTAAACGAAAACAGATCATAACATTGCTGACACAATGTAAAACGGATGATAAAAATAAATGCAGCGATTTAGCGACAGAAAGAAAAACCCTTTCAACGTAGGAAAGGGTTTAGCTCGCTCGCGACAACTCAACGGAATCGTTAAACAGCGAAAACAACACATGTACGTGAGTAAGAATAGAGTATATCTACTCTAGCTATAAACATTATTTACACAGCCAAATTTATTTCATTATATCGACGACAAGGGAATGATTTCTGGGGGTGACATTTCTTTGGATCGCTATCGCAGAGCTTTCATGAAAAACAAAAAAGAAAACAACCCTGTATTGTACCCGAATGCTATTTGTGGAAAGCCATGAAGCGGTGTTTTCGTTTAAGGTAAACGCAAAATTGACGTGTTGTAAGCTTTTTTTGGTTGCATGTGTTTTAAATATAGTGAAATCAAAAGGATATCACGATCTGAAGTGACTTTCATGTCAGAATTACTTTCTCTGATATATTATCGAACTGATAGCGCTTGTGTTCTACTGAATTTCTTTTTTCTTTCCTGCCAAATATTTCAAAATGTTCAGCATTCGCGATAAAATGATTAGATTGATCTTGTTTTAGGCGAGAATTTGAAGAAGTTCTTTTATTTACCTATAATTTCAAGATAGAAGAAATATTAGTAAGAGAGGTTTCAATTCGAAAAAAAAAAAATCACAATTTATTGGTAGTTCCTGTCCATAGAAAACCCAATCAAATTTTCTTCGCCTTTAGTGGCATAAAAGAGAAAGCGGATTCACAGGGGCTCTTTTCAAGGACATCAGAAGACATCAAGACAAATTCGCGTTTTGTTTTTTTTTTCTTTAAGTCTAGACTTTCATCTCCTGTACATAAGCTTTCGATAGCGCCTATAAAAAGTTTTTGATTGTCAGTTCGGAACCGCTCTCGTCGAACACCCATTTACTAGCTTATCAACAAGTCCATCGCCATTGAATGCGTTCGAACTGGAAGTAGCTTGACATGTTGTCAACAGCAAGCACGAACGCTACGCCAATACGCGACGCCGTAATGAACGAGATTCATAATCGCGATATTCCTAAAAGATTCGCACGAAAAGCGTTATCTCCATCAAGATAACGCCGAAATGAGTATTTCCTACACCTGTGTTGGCGGCTGAAGTTCGCAAACACAACTTGAGGCAAAATGAGTTTTTAATTATACGTTGTAAGTTCTGTTTGCTTGTTAGGCGAGACTTGGCCGAGTTTTCGTGGAATCTCACCAAATAAATGAGAGCAGAAAAGTGCCAAGATCGTCACATTTCCCATTTATCACTGCCTTTTCTCTGATTTCAAATCATAATAGCCTTTTAGCGTCTTTTAGCGCCTTGGCTTTTAGTGAATTCAAAGATTTTCCGCAATGAAATAGGCTGATGTGGGGAGAGAAACTTCCGATGGATTTTCTAAGCTCTTCCTTCAAGACGTTATCATTTGATCAATACACGGCGAAAAAAAAACTGATAACAGAAATATTAGAGGGAAAACAAATTTAAAATTCAAAGTTTCTGACCGACTTTTTAATTAATTTAAATTCTTGTTTTCTTTTTTCTACCTTCGTAATTACATAAAGAAAAATATCGATGAAAACGAATTATTTTTTTTAAATCTGATTACTTTCTATGGAAGACATTTTATCGTAAAAGCTGAAAAAAACCCACTGATATTGTTTTTTTAGTTTTCTGTGGTCGTTTCCTCAAGCAACTTTACCAGCGAATACATTTTTCCAATATTTGTTATCTTTGATCCTTAAAGAGTAAAATATGTCCTGTCTTAAGGCCATGTCTGTGTTATAATCGTGGATATGTTTTCGGTGGTTATGAGTTTCTGATGCACGATTAGCGAATGTGACGTGCAACAAATTTGATATTTTCCTTTCGACAATAATTTTCATATTTTTTGTCATTTCCTTGGCACTGATAGAAAAAATAGTTTGCGGAGTTTCTTGACTTTAATTACTGAGTCGATATAATTAAGTTTATGGTGTACCTTTGAGGAGTGTGTTTTGTGGTATTTTTTAATCAAGTTAAAGTTTAAATATTTGATGTAACGTTACCAAAAAAACATAAAATTTCCGAAGTCTAAAAGTCTGTTTACTGTAGAGAGCATTTTGTTTTCCAAGAGAATTAAGAAATCTCTATGGGGTTCAAGTCTCACTACCATTTCGTAAAAGCTGCTTTTTGTGCCAAACCCGAGCACAATGGTCCACAATGAATTAGCATTTCTAGTTCATATTTACGGGAATTTTCAATTGCGAGTTGCCGTACTTTTAGAAGAGGCCCAAAATTGCCCTTACTGAATGATTATCTCTCATCTCCTTACGGTATTTCTGATTATATCTCAGCGTCCGAGAGTAGAGGACCGTTTGTTCCTCAGTCTGTTTCGATCCGCTCGCTGAAACGTTCGTTTCGAGGAGTCACAGCGCCGCAATTTTGCTGTACGCGCAGCCAGCTAGAGGGGGTCTGGACGTACTTCTTAGAGAAAACCCAAACCAAGAAACTACCTTTGTAGAATTCGTTTTTCGCCTTTCTAATCAGTTTCTGTACGCACTGTCGATAATTGACTGTTAATCTGATAGTTAGAAAAGCTAGTTGAGCCAGACCAATCAACCTGCTTGATATAAATCTTTCCGTCGACTCTTACTTTGCCAGTGGATTCAGAAAGCGCGAAATGTAGCATGAATATCAAGAACAAAAAGTGTTATACCATAGTATCGATGGAAGTAATGTTTCAAAAGGTTCTCTGATATCGTTTATTTGGTTTTCTCGAAATAGGAGAATGCTGATCTCACTGAAACGAATGAAACAAATTGTAATCGTACCTCAAAGACTTAAGAAACTTGATCAACGGAAGTTTGATGCTATTCCTAAATTTTACAAGTATGGGTTTCTAATAAAAAAAAAAATGCGGATATTTTATACCTATTTGTTTAAGATGGCGTCCCCTACTGTCGATTTTTATTCTTCTTAAGTTGATCAAACCCAAGCTCTCCGTACAGTGTAGTGACATAATCCAAGTATAAAGTTTGAGAGAATTTAGCGAAACATCACCAAAGAGAAATTTTCTTAGTATTTCAAGAAAATTTCACAGCTAATAGAAATTTGTAGAGACCAGGACAGGAACTTTGAATGTCGATATTCAGGGCTTTAAAAACAAACAAATTAACTTTTATTGTGTTTAGCATTACTGTTAGGAGCTTGTTGATTAAAACGCCTTCAACACGAAAACTACTAACTAAAAGCTCACTTACTTTACATTAACCCGAACATTACTGAGCTCAAATTTAACACTTTTTAACAAATCTTGCATTTTTTTTTACGATATATGTCCGTTGTTATCCGTATAAGAATCGATTTAGTAGCTGTTAATCTGAATTTAAAATATATCTAATTGAGTAGCCATCAGAATTCCTGAATTTCACTGAACAGTGTTGTTTAGCCATAGAATTTATTTATCCTCAACCTTTCAAAAAATACGATATCTCGTATTTCGTGCGTGTTAGAAACTGTTGAAAATCCATACACACACATGAAAACAATAGACCACGCGTGTCCTCCACGCGCCGTTCACGCGTTGC